TTCTTGCCACCAAATATAAACCTTGCTTTTTTTCAAAGTAAATTAAAAATTCATACCCTGTTCTGAAATAGTTATAGTTATTCCTCATGAGCCGTGGGATCATTTTGAACTTTAGAAGGAACAAAGCTTGGCAGCCACTGGATATAACTTACAGTTTAAAATCTGCAGGGAGCCTAGAAATTTATTTAATTGCCAGGCTTCCCAATTGAATCTGTTTTCCCCATCCCTTAAATGGGACAGTAGTGATCACTAGTTTCCCTTACCTAAAAGATATACTGTATTGAAATCTCCTTGGGAATAGTGTAATAGTGTTGTCATTTTGGAGCCCTGGTGACGCAGTGGTTAAGAGCTTGGCTGCTAACCATAAAGTCAACAGTTCGAATCTACCAGCCGCTCCTTGGAAACCCTACTACACTGTCCTGTAGGGTTGCTATGAGTAGAAATTGACTCGACAGCAATGAAATTGTCATTTTAAGTAAGAATAACTATTTTCCGTCAGAAATGCACTAACCTTCTGTGCTGTGAGTCTTGTGTTCCAAATATCGATGCTTTTTATCCATTATTGAATCGGTAAAGAAATGCAAGAGTAGATGATGGGGACTCCAGGCACCACACTTAAGCAATTCGCAGCTGTGTTCGTTTCACAAATACTCGCTGAGTGCCTACTATGTGCCAGGACCTGTTCTAGATGCTTGAGATACGTTAGGGAACACAAGAGAGCCGCAGAGAGCTTACCTTTTCTTGCGGAGATGGGCAATAAACATAAAAATACGTAACTTAGGTTGGAGAGTGCTGAAAACCAGTTGCCACTGAGTCAACTCTGAGTCATAGCGACTCCATGTGTGTCAGAGTAGAGCTGTGCTCCATAGGATCTTTAATGGCTGATTTTTCAGAAGTAGATCGCCAGGACTTTCTTCTGAGGTACCTCTGGGCAGACTTGAACCTCTAACCTTTCAGATGGTAGCTGTTAACCATTTGCACCACCCAGGGACTCTGGAGAGTGATGAGTGGTACGGAAAAAAGAAAAAGTAGAGCAGAGCATGGGGACTTGGCGTCCAGGCGAATGGTAGGTGTAGTGGCAGGTTGTGGTCAGGAGGCTCATGCAGTGGTGTGATGTGAGCAGAATGAAAGGGGCGAGGAGAGAACCAAGCAGGTGTGAAGGTTCAGAGTATTCCATGTGGTGAAAGGACTTGGTCTTCCAAGCCTGTGTTTCCTTTTATATAGTTGAAAGACAGGGCCTGTAATCTTGTATCTCTTCCAGTCCTTAAGTTTGATTAAATACACCTCAAGATCTGCCTGTGTCCTGTGCGGCACTGGTCTGGACCTCAGCCTGTGCTAGGTGAGGGACTTGGAGGCCCCAGTTTTAGTCTTGCTACTTGACCAGCCATATTGCAAACTATGTCACTTCCTTGCATCCAGACTCAGCTTCCTCAGCTGTTAAGTAAAATTGATAGATTCCCTACTAGATTGCAATCTTTGGAATGTGAGGCTAAAACTAATTTAAATCAACATATTTTTGCCTTCTCATTGTACGTAAGTTATGCTGCTGAACAAAACTGGACTTCAGTTGGTGTTGAAGTATCTGCTCTTTCCTTGCCTTAACTGGCCTTAAAAATCTGTGCAATTGAATCTCATTCTGCCTGTCACTTACTGTCCAGGTAGTGATAAAGAAACTGGAAAATGAACTGGGCTATGTAGTACAGTGGACCAGCTGTTGCGGGCTTTTGAATCTGATAGGTCGGGTTGGAATCTTGGCTCTTTCATTTATTTATAAGCTTCAGTCTTCTGGGCAAATTACTTAACCTGTCAGAACCAGAGTTTCTTCCTCTTTATAACTGGGTGGAAAATAATACTTTCCTTACAACAATATCATGAGGATTAAATGAGAAAATAAAGTTAAGTGCCTTGAAAAATGCTGGCACATTGTAGATACTTGGCATGGAAACTGCTGCTGTTATTATTATTTCTCTGATTTCTAATGTAGAAAAAAATATTTCATATCCTA